TTTTTGTATTTTGAAATTTCTACTGCATCGTGCAATTGAGACTGATGTTCACTAACCTAGTATTTTGAATCGTTGCAGTAGCTAATGGCAGAGGTCAGCTTCTTCTCATTCCTTTCCTCTTCATTCATTTCCACAAGTTGAGGTTGAGACATAGATGAAACAGAGCCATTTGTGGGTTTGTGTGATGAGTTTGAATTTGAGGGCTTCATGGATGAGAGAGAGAGAGAGGGGCGTAAAGATTCAAAAAGATGTTGCTCTCTAATATGCTATGTGTACGTTTTGGTGGTTTAAGTAAAGCTTGGAATTAATTTTTGCTTCTTTAATTTTGATCCTTCAAGGCTATAAATACGTATGTTTCTATGTATATAAGCTTCCTTGCCAAAATGGGTTGGGGTCAAAGCTTTTCAATAGGACATATATAACTTACCATGAGAGAGAAAGAGAATGGCCATGATAGTAGGACTTTCCTAATTGGCTTGCTCTGTAACTTCCTACTTTGGGAAAGGGAATAAATAGTTTTCACAATAATGTAGAAAACTACAAATTCAATCAATTGAGTTATTTAAACTGGCTAGAATATTTGTACTTCCCTAAGAGGCTATAGCTTTCCATGTAACAAAAATAATAAATAATAGCAATAATAATACAAATTCTAGACAGGGCTGAGCTTAGGCTATAGGTCAAACCCATCTTGAAAGAGTGCCTGTAGCTCCTGTGTATTGTTGGGTCCGTCTAGACTCTTCTTGTCCAGTTCTCCAGTGAGTAAGGACTTCTATGGTCGTGCCCAAAGAGGATTCATATATGTTGGTTGCCCCCTCATATCCATTTTATCCAGCAAAAAGGAATCCTTATAGCTCACTAGCAACGAACCCAGATTACAACCTCCGATGTAATGAGAGAGAGAGAGTTTGTATTGACCCCCATGCTTTCCCTTCATAATTGAAATGGGGATGAAGCATTCTGTTTTATCAAACTAAGGTGCTATTTTCTTCCTACCTTGTTAAAACACAAAGGTTCTATGTTTCACTATTTTAAGCTGGGCAAAAATTGATGGTGTAAAAAATTGACACCAAAAACTATAAACTTTGGAATCTGAATATCTATATAACAATACAAGACATATATGCCTTGCCAAAATGACTAATAAAAATCTAACCCCTTTGCCTGGGAGATTTCTGGTCTCAAATCTATGTATACATACAATTTAAGAATCAAATAACCTTACAATTCATCACGAGAACTTCCCTTAGATGAAGCAGACTTGGGTTGTTGATATTCAAGGAGGTATCTTGTAGCCAACGATGCATGAAATGCAGCACCATATGGAAGTACATCTTCATTTACAGTGAAGTACGGAGAGTGCCCCAGTTCAAGCTGGCCCTGAGTCTCATTTTGCATTCCAACCTTGTAGAAGTATCTTGGGCCCTGCTTGTTTGGAGAGTTAGAGGAGGGATTGGGATTGGTAGTGAGGTGAGACCCACTAATATTGTGTTTGTTTTGAGAGATGGGGAGGGGATTGATAGTGAGCTTCGGATTAGGATGTGCCTTCCCAAGAGGATTTGGATGGGCTTCCAGGACTTGGTATTAGAAAAATAGTTCGGCGGACTAGAAATTTTTTATTTTTATTTATTTTTTATTTTATTTTTTACATGTTGGACATTTTTTTTAACATTAATGTTTAATTTTTTGTATTTTTTGTTAATCATTATTTTATTTGTTTTATTTTTTTCTGGAAATTTTTTATTTTATTTTTATTTTTAAAATTTTTTTTACATGTTGGACATTTTTTTTAAAACATTAATGTTTAATGTTTTTGTATTTTTTTTATTTGCTTTATTATTTTATATTTATTTTATATAAAAATAATTTAACAATTCCTACACTAACAACTATTATCAAAACAAACACAATTTTACTTAATCCTCTCACTATCAATCCCTTCCACTCTACCTCTGAAAACAAACGGGGCCTTGGGCCCACCTCTGCAAAAAACGAGAAGTCTTCGACCTCCATCAATGTTTGCATCTCTAAAATGTTTTTCTCGCCCAGCATGCCCCTTGCACTACAACAAAGCTGGGTTTTTATGGCTTCACATCAAAGACATACAGATGGTGTTTGGGAAGTGAGTTTTTATGTAGGTTTTTTTAGTTGTAGGTTTTTATTGGATAAAAAATTTTTGGTGTTTGGGAAGATAGTTGGGTTTTTATGTGGTTGGATGTGATGTTTGTGAGAGAAAAAGTGAAATGATTATGGGGTTGGATGTGATATTTTGTTTGGATGCGTTTTTTTTTGTTTTGTAAAAAGTTTGTCTTTTAGTGGAAAAAATGAGAAAAAAATTTGGAACCTAGGTTCCCAAACACCACCACAGTAAATGTAAGCCGTGGTTTCTCACTTTTACGACTTACTTTTTTGGCATGTCGTAAATAATTTCCCAAGCATGACATGTCTATTGTGTATGTCGTTAATGTTAATTATGAATATTTTTTTACGACTTGCAATGTTAGCCGTAAATTATGAAACTTTCTATGCTAGTGTACACGATACGCGTACACTAGCTGTTAAAAATATTAAACATTTCACGACGCACAAAAAGCCTACCATTAAAAATTTCACTTTTCACGGTACAAAATGTCAGCCGTTTAAAATATTACACTTTTCACGACACGCAATTACTGTCACGAAAGGTAATATAAAAAAAAAAGCGCCAAATGAAAATTGATTAGCGCCAAAACAAAAAAATATGAAACTTTCCACCAAAAATATTAAAATTAAAAATTTAGAAGTAATAAATTTTCATCTCTATGTAAAGACTCTCGCTCCATCTTCATCCCTCATCACCACCGACCTCTACTCACCTACCCTAAATCTCTCTCACTCACTCACTGATTGACCTTTCTCTCCCTCTCCTCCAACCCTCTCACTGACCTCATAGCTAGCTTACACCCCCAACAATTTTGGTTTCTCTAATTGCTACTTTGGTTGCCCCTGGTGAGTGGAAAAAGAGGCAAGGGACGATGTAATGAAACAAAAGGATGAGAGAGTAAAGATTAGAAGGCAGTGTGTTTAGGGTTACAAAGGAGGCCATGGTAGAAGAAGAACGATGATGGAAGTGGAGAGACTCTCCCCCTGTTTTCACAAACAGTCAACTCTCCTTCTCCATCCTTCCCCAGGTATTTATCCCTCCAATTGTCTTCATATTTATTTGCTTTAGATTGCTTGAGATTTGTTGAAATTGCCTATTTTTTTAAAAAAAAATTTCCTCGATTGCTTCTTTTAATTGCTTCAGATTTGTTGATTTATAACATAATTTTTGTTGAAATTTTTGTTCAAAATTGGTGAAACAATTTCTGTTTAAATAAAAAAAAAAAATTGTTTTAAACAATCTATTTCTGTAAACAAATTTCTGCTTTATATTTGTATCCTTTCGTTTTTGTTTTTTTAATGGATTTAAAACTAATATGGGTGAGAGTATTTTGGTATTTTTTATGGTTTCTTATTAATTTTGATGGGTTTATGATTAATTTTGTTTGGTTTAATTGATGTAAATCCTTTTAAACTCTGATTTATTTTTAGTGGGTTTATGATTTTTTTGTGCTAGTTTTGAATGCTGAGTTCTTAGTTGCAGGAATCGTGCAACTACGATTCCGCAATTCCTAGAAAGAAACGTGTAAAAATCGCGTTTCTGTGGAGATGGAAACGCGATTCAGTCCAAGATGGGATCGTAAAGGGGGGGAGAGAGAGAGAGAGAAACCCTAACCTTCGACGTCGACATGAGAGGAGAAAGGGCTTCGATCATCTTCGTCACTCTCTCGATCGTCTTCGTCTTCGTCTTCATCTTCGTCACTCTCTCTGTGCTTCTCTCTCTCTCTCTCTTCGTCTCCGCTTCTTTCCCTTTTCATCTCTGTTCGTTGTTCTCTTCATTCTCTCTCTTCGTCTAGATCATATATAATATATAATATATATAATATATATAATATATGTAATTTATCATATATTATATATGTAATAAATTATTTAAAAAATATAATAAATAAATAAAATAATTAATGTATATTAAAATAAAAATATTTATAAAAAAACTTCTAATGTGCATTAAAATATATATATATATATATATTACCGCTCTCCGAGACGCTCCCAACCTAAGAAACTTCTACCGGCTCACGATTACCCACTCCCGCCCCCGCTCCCGCTTCGTGCAACTAAAGCTGAGTTCAATCTTTTATATTGGCCCTTTTGGTATTCTGTTTTCTAGGTGCCAAGTCTTTACAATCTAAGATATTCAGGAGCAAACAATGAAATATTAGTAGGACTTTTGAGAGCTTTAAGTGGGCCACGGTCCCTTTTCCGCCCCCGGTTCTGCCTTTGTATATGCTATTGCTGGAAAAGGAGAGTTGGAGAGGCAGAGAGGCCTCTATATATGTCAAAATTAGTGAAAGATAAGATGTGTTTGCCTAAAGGCATCAGTAGAGGGGCTATTTATAGATATTTTCACTTTTGGCTTTGGTTGATGAATTGGTGACACTTGTTTTATGTTTATTAAAGTGCTGTAATCTTTTTCCCATCTGGCATCCCCGTGGTGCCTTCCAGTCACTAGCATTACCCTCTTATTCCCCCTAGATGATTAGCTCCTTGAAGCCCCTAGATCGATCCCACGGCATAACATGGAACAGTGTTTTTAAAGGCTCAAGGCGCACTAAGGCACTGAAGGTCTCTCGGGGCCTAGACGCAAGGCGAGGCGCGGGCTTTATTGAAGTATGGCGCACAGTCTTAGTTAAAAATAAAAAAATTAACATAGACTAATCATTCATAGTACTAAGACAATTTTTTGAAAAATAAAAAGTAATCAAGATTCAAGACAAAATATAAAATAATTCTCAAAGCCATGAAAGTGCATATTACATAACATTTCAAACATCCAAAAATATAAACATAAACACTAAACATTCAAAACATTAATATCCAACAAATGCTAATATGTCTTAACACTTAAAAACATCAACATCAAAAGAAAGGATAGGTTAGGTCGGTCAGTCAATCATCATCCTCAACATCAATGGCAAGCAAACTATCATTTTCTTCTCCATCAGTTGATTTGTATCGCTCAACATCTTCCTCCTCTGTGTCATCTGAGCCCGCTTCCTCTTCATCTATTAATTGAAGTGGAGTTAATGTTGATGATTTAGCTATCCTCGGTTGTGCCTTTGAGCGTGAACTTGTTGCTCTACTTGCATGGCTACTTTCTTCTACTCCAGAAGCTCTAGCAACAGTGGCCCACGTCAAGCCATCATCATCATTAAACACAGGCTCATTATTTTCATCTGATTCTCCATCCATCCTCCCAAGCAACCACTCATTGCTTTCATCAATATTTTGCAAAGATATGGGATCAAGAGTGTTGCGCATGTCATACCTAAATCTCAATGTTCTATTGTATTTGACATACACTAAATCATTGAGACGTTGTTGTTCCAATCTATTTCTTTTCTTGCTATGAAGCTGCAAGTATTAAAAAGATATTAAATTCTATATAATGAGAATAAAAAATATTTGAATTGAACAAAAAATTAGTTAGAATGTTAAATACTCACATGTTCGAATACACTCCAATTTCGTTCACAACCCGATGAACTGCATGTTAGGCTAAAGACTTTTATGGCAAAAGTTTGCAAGTTTGGAGTATAAGAACCATATGATGCCCACCAATCAGCTGCGACAATCCACTAGTTAGAAATAACTGTTACCAAGTATTGAGTTTTACTAAAAGTATTACTAAAAATAAACTCTATGAATCTATAATATATTACCTGGTGCTCTTGTATTTCTTTGCCTAATCGCAACAGACTTGCCAAAAAGACTCTCAGCCTTCATATAAATACTCATCTCATTAGTGATCAAATCTTGAACATTGACATCCGGGACCAACCTTTGCATGCATTCGTAAAACCCATTCATTACTTCATCATCTCTTTGCACCTCTAACGCTTTTGGGTAAAAGAATTCTGGGTTAAGAAAATGCGCAGCTGCATGTAAAGGCCAATGCAATTGGACATCTCATCTTTTGTCGATGATTTCGAAGATTTCATTATATTTCTCTTCTTTATGATCAAATAAACTTGCAATGCATTCTTTTCCCTTATCCATTGCCTCATAAATGTATCCCATGGGAGGTTTCTTCTCGGTATCAACCAATCTAAGCACTTTGACAAGAGGACCCGAGACCTTAAGGGCAAACATAGCAGTATTCCAAAATGAAGGCATCAACAAAGTTTGTGCCATTCTTTTACCTTGTGGCTTCTTTGTCCATTTGTTTGAGGTCCAGTCTTCGGAGGTCACCATCTTTCTCAAATTGTTTTTTTGTTGATGCATTCTAGACAAAGTCAAAAAGGCGGTTGCAAATCTAGTTTTTGCAGGCTTGATCAAATTCTTCAAATTTGTATAGCGCCTCATCATGTTTAGCAACGTAGGCCGATTGTAAATGTAGTCATGTATTGCAATACCTTTTTCAAATGTCTTTTTTAGTCTCGGTATCTTGAAAATGTCTTCTAACATCAAGTCCAAACAATGAGCAGCACATGGTGTCCAATACAAGTGTTCATACTTAGCTTCCAAAAACCTCCCTATAATGTAACAATAACGAAGAATTATTATTTTCAAGTTTTTAAATTTTAAATACAAAACAAACTATGAGTAAACAATTTTGATGTAAGGAATGAGGAAATATTCTTACCTGCCAACACATTAGCTGCAGCACTATCAGTGATAACTTGCACCACATTCTCTTTTCCAACTTTCTCCACAAACTTGTCTAGTAATTCAAATAGCTTTTGCCCATCCTTTGAATAGCTAGAAGCATCAACCGACTCAACAAACATGGTTCCTCTTGGACTATTAACTAAAAAGTTAGTCAATGTCCTTCCTCTCTTATCAGTCCAACCATCAGCCATTATGGAACACGTGTATTTTGCACAATCCTCTTTATGATACTTTATCAAATCTTCAGTATGTTTCACTTCTTTTTTGAGTTGGGTAACCCGCACTTTATGGTAAGTCGGTGGCTTCATACCAGGACCATATTGGTCAATGGCTTCAATCATTGGTCCAAAACTCTCATAATTTACTGCATTAAAAGGGATACCAGCATCATACATCCACCTTGCAAATCTTTGTAGTGCCCGAGCTCTCATTTCTTTTTTGTAAGGGTCATTTGCATCAATTTTGGTTTGTTTTCCTTTTGCTTGGTCTCTTCGATTTTTCACCACTGATTCAGGATTGGGTGTGAAGTAAACATCCATAGGCCCTTTTCTCTTTGGCATTTTTGATTTGGATTTGGATTTGGATGAACCTTGGCTACTACTTGTCAACTTGCGGTGTTCATTGACATTGATCTCAACGACATCTTCATCTTCATCTTCCATGTCCATGTCATCAAAATCAGGCAACATGTTCATTTCTTCTTTTTGTGTCTTTTTTTTTTACATGAACTCTTTAATCTCTTCTCTTACATGAGAAGGGCGCTTCGGGCAAGTAGTGACATTCCTATAACCTCCCGCAAGGTGTTGTTTCACCCGATAAACACCTCCATTTGATACTTTACCACAAAAATTACATTCGAACTTGTTTAAATTATTCTCCTCTACCAAATGGGCATATTGCCACGCTGGATCTTTTCTATTACTTTCCGATGATGTCATTTTCTACACAACAAATTTAATAAATGGAAAATAATTTCAGTGTAATGTAAGTGTGATTAATTGTGTAATGTAATGGAAAATTACACATTAGCACATAGACAGTGTATTAATTGATGGGAAATTAATTAATAAAATGTAATAGAAAATAATGTAATGGAAAATTACACTCAGTGAGTGTAATGTAATGTAATGGAAAATAATGTAATGTAATGTGTGAATTTAAAAAATAATTAATGTAATGTAATTTAATGTGTCAATTAAATTTAGAAAATAATGTAATGTAAACAGAGACCAAAGGCATAATGTAATGTGTAATGTGTTTATTTATTTTTTAGAATGTAATGTGTTTAATTAATGGAAAATTATTTTTTTAATGTAATGTAATGTGTTTATTAAATTTAGAAAATAGTGTAATCTGTTTTTATTTTTGTTTAAATTATTCTATTTATTTATTTATTATTTTTTCTTTAACAGAGACTCAAAGGCATAATAAATAAATAGAAAAAAACAAAACAAAACACAACAAAGTAGAGCAGAATCAGCGAAAGAGAGAGACGACCGAAGTCGAAGAAGCCGAAAGAGAGAAGAAAAAAAAAAACGACACAGACCTGGAAGTCGAGAGAGGAAGACGACACACACCTGGAGGTCGAGAGAGGAAGACGAAGTCGAAGCCCAACCAGTCCAAGTCGAAGTCGTAGCCCAGCCAGTCCGAATCGAAGTCGAGAGAGGAAGTCGAAGTCGAATTGAAGTCGAGAGAGGAAGTCGAATCGAAGTCGACACAGATTAGGTTAGGGATTTCGTTTCAGTCTTATTTCATTTCAGTCGAAGTCGTATTGTATATAAGTTGTAATCCTCTGTGTTAGAGCCATTCGAACGCACACCACCACAGCCGTTAGATCAAAATTAGGGCGTAAATCATCAATCGCGCCTAGGTGCGAGCCTTGCGCTTCTCGCGCCTGCTTCCAGTCGCACCTAAGGCGCGCGACTTCTTCAAAGCGCCTCGCCTGGTACCAGCTCAGGCGCACATGCTGCGACTTGATGCGCCTTGCGCCTAGGCGCACCTTTCACAACACTGACATGGAAAATGGCTTCCTAGTGCTTGCACCTACCTCTTTGATGGACCGTACTAATAAAATTGTCAATTTGTCTAAGGTTCCATTCATCTTTGGGTTGAATTTGCATCACTGACCTAGGTGATCATCTGTTGGCTGTACTAGAACCTGTTATAAGTAGTTGCCTTGTTAAGGTAATGCCTGTGAGGTCGCAATATTAAATTATTTCTTAAATGAGTGCACTTTGTTTTGATCATATTAGATGAAATGATACTTGGTTATGAGCAACCATTTATTTTGGAATTCTGGTGCTGTAATAAACTTTAGTTTAATGTTATTATGATGACTATCTACCATAAAGAAAAAACTAATCTGGTGAATATCGTGTTTTTTTAAGGTTCGTTACAATGAGAATCTTCCTATGGTGCTTCATGGCATAACCTGCACATTTCCTGGTGGGAAGAAGATTGGAATTGTTGGGCGTACTGGAAATGGTAAATCTACATTGATCCAGGCATTGTTCAGATTGATTAAGCCTGTAGAAGGCAGAATTATTATAGACAATATTGATATTTCAACAATTGGTCTTCATCCGTAGCCGTCTAAGTATTAAACCCCAAGATCCGAACTTATTTGACGGGACCATTGGGGGCAACCTTGATCCCCTCCACGAGCACTCAGATCAAGAAATTTGGTAGGTCAAACTCAAGTTGCTTACTCTTTTTGTCCTCAGTTTTGAAAAAGAAAATCTTAAACTATAACAGTTCGACCAAGTGAAGTCCATAAAATAAACTGTTAGAAGAAATATCCCAGATATTGTGGATAGCCACAGCTATTTTAAATTGTTCTGAAATCATAAGTGATCCCATTTTTTGTAATATGAATTCCTCAGTTCCTTCTATAAATTCTTGCCAAAAATTTGTTGTTAAAGTTTGGCTTTCCAGTGTTTATTCCCAAACGTTTTTGCCAGTTTAATGTATGGGCATGTTATGATTACCAGAAAGACTCACCTTCCTAGTGATTGTATTTTGATTTGGATCAGGCACTTGAGAAGTCTCAACTAGGGGATATTGTTTGCCGGAAAGAGAAAAAGCTAGATACACCAGGTATTTGCACTAAATATTTGAGCATTAAATTTAAGCTTTATTATTAATATTACATCTGGAAGCTTTCCTTTTGGCATTTGTCTAAGACCAGTCGATAAATTGTGTTTGTCTGAAATTCGTAGTTCTAGAGAATGGAGATAATTGGAGTCTGGGCAGCGGCAACTTGTTTCCCTGGGCCGGGCTTTACTAAAACAGGCAAAAATTTTGGTTCTTGATGAAGCCACTGCTTCAGTTGATTCAACTACAGATAATCTTATCCAGAAGATCATCCAAACAGAGTTTAGGGACTGCACTGTGTGCACTATTGCTCATCGTATACCAACTGTTATTTACAGCGATCTAGTTCTGGTCCTCAGCGATTGTGCATACACTAATACTTTCCATTTCTTCTTCCATTTGGTGGACATAAGTGTTGTTGCAATCTGTAGAACTTTTTCCTAAGAATTTTAGTATAATCTGCATTTGGTAATGTTATTAATTTTCACGAGTATTCAAAAATTTGTCATTTCTTTTTCTTTTAAACTTTTGACAAGATAAATTAAATGAGTAAAAGGCTCCAGAAGAGAAAGCCGGCCTTGTAGATCTGTAGGAACAATGTCAACACCCACAACCCTTTAGATATCTTACGATGAATAATTCCCTGACTCTGCATTCACTAGTAACACCAACTAAGCACAATGTGCTTGCATTGAATCAAATTTTCCAAGATTCATCAAATTTTTTTGTTCTTGAAATGATGGAAACTCAAGGAGATTATGGTATACAAGAGTATATCTAATCTTGATCCTCAGGATATGCAGGTGAATATGTATCTTGATTAAGAGTTAACTTTTAGAATGTAAATAAGGGTTTGAGAGAGTTGTTGGTCTTCGAAGTCAAAGTCTTAGGTTCGATATTTTACATTGTAAAAATATTAGAGTTTTGCTTCTCATTTCTCAACTTGAGTACGATGGTATGGCAAGCATTATCTAAAAATGATTCTCTCTCTTTGGCTCACGGTAATTGCTGGAAGCTGAATGAAGGCTGTTGCTTCTTGATCCTTTTGTGACTTGTCCCATTAAATTTATTAACATAATGTTTCTACAACTCCCAAGGTTGTTTGCTATGAAGCACGGACACGGACACGGATATGGACACGGGACACGGCAATTTTCAAAAAAGGGGGACACGGACACGGCGGGGGACACGGCGAATTTTTTTTTTTTTAATATATATATTTGTATGTGTTATGTAAATTAACAAACACTAACATAGTAACCATTAATTCAATAAATATAAGAGAGGCAAAAGATTCAACATCCAACATCTTGAAATAAATATAAGGGGAAAACATCCAACATCCAACAATATTTGTCACAAAAGCACTAAATAAGAGGCAAAGAAGAAGGAAAAAAAAAAGAAAAGAAAAGAAAAGAAGTAGGCCTTTCAAAACTTCAAGTAGATCCAATTTCTTGCACATCTTCACCATCATTAGCATCACCATCTTTTTCTTCGTTTGCACCCCCATCATCTGTAAACAACACAACCTCCATCTCAGGTTCATCAAGTGATAGATTTGCAACCTCAAGCATCCCAACATCATCAAATGAATCAAATGTGTCGCCCGCAATATCCCATAACTTGGTCTCTCCTTCAAGGTATTGTGAGGTTCTCCTTGATAAAAGATGGAGGTTGCTATGAACAAAAACCAAGTCCTCTGCACGTTGGGGTGTCATCTTGTTTCTTTTCATTGAATGGATAAAAGAGTATATACTCCAATTCCTCTCAGCACATGATGAAGAAGAAGGTTGCACAAGTAGCCTTAAAGCCAAACATTGAAGAGTGGGTGCAGATGCACCATGAACAACCCACCAACTATGAGGATCCATATCACATCTATCTCCAAGGGAATCAATGTCAGCAAATGGCCCCTCTTTTGTTGAGAACTTAGCATACTCCAAATTTGCTTTAGTGCGCTCCATTGGATCATCAAAGAACCTTTTCAAGCACTTTTTTCTCTCAAGACAAACCTCCTCATCCCTATGTGGGGGAACTCG